TCCCTGCTCCTCCTCCCAACCCCTCTTCCTTCCCCCCAGCTCCCTGACCCTCCTCCCCTGACCCCCTCCCTTCCTCCAGCTCCCGCCTCCTTCCCCCAGTTACCCACTCCTCCTCTTCTCCTCCTTCCCAACCCCTCTTCCTTCCCCCAGCTCCCCACAACCTCCAGCCCCCTCCTCCCGTTGCTCCCCGGTCTCCCCCCGACCCTCCCCGGGCCCCTCAGCCCACGTGCGGGCCTCTCTCTCCCGAACCCCGCAGGCCGCCTCACCCGAGCGCCCGTCTCCCGCCTCCTGCAGGCGGAGGGCCCCGCTGACCCCCCTGCTCCAGCCGGGGCCTGGCAGGCGGCAGCTCCGGGCCCAGCCCAGCGCCCCGCGGAGCCCCAGCAGCAGCATCTCCCCTGCCCTACCGGCCTGCTGGCATGGGCGCCGCCATTTTGGGACAGCCCTGGCCAATCGATCGCCGAGCTAATCGATCGAAGGCTGGGCTGGCTTTAGCCTGGCTGGGCTGGGCTGGGCTCAGGGTGGGGCAGCTTTGCCCAGGTTAGGAGGGTCAGGCCTGGCCCAGTTCCTCTCGTGGCTCCGAGCCCTGCTGGGGTGTGTCGGGGGAGCAGGGCTTGCCAGCCCCTCTCGAGTGCACCCCGCAGGGATGGGCCTGGCTTCCTGCCCCTTTCTCGCAGGGTGGGTCCCTGCAGCCAGTGTCTGGGGGAGGCAGGCCGGCCGGGTGTCCTGGTTTTGAGTGGTTTGCCCCTCTCTGGTACTGATATAACCCGGACGTGGTGTTGTCTGCTGTCACACGCTGCTCCACTCCCATCAGCGTGGTGTAGGCGAGGTCATGCCCGCAGAATGGTGTTCTGTGTGCGGTGTGACCTCACACGCAGTGTGCGTGCCAGTTCACCCTGGTAGGGGCAGGGACACCGAAGGGATGTGCTGTGACCTGGGGATGTGGCAGTGGCCATCCTGCCCCCAGCTCTCTGGGTGTGTCCATTTCCCAATAGTGCTAGCACAAGCAGCCCAGCGGGGTTTGGCACCTGTAAGCCCGTTACCTCTGGGGAGCTGTGCCCAGAGAGTTGATTAAAGTGACCCAAAACCAGCTTCTTCAAAACCAAGCAGTATTTATTCACCCACAGGTACAAAGCACCTAGAGTAAAAGATAAAAACCATAAAGGTCTATGCACGTATTTTCCCTTCTCTACACATTTATCTTTCCTTGCAAGCTTGGGTAGGTTCCATTCAGCCCACTTACCTCTGGCTCTGGGCTGGGAGAAGCAGACTCCTAGCATCCCCGTCAGCACTCCCTGACACCTTCTGGACAACCCCCCTTCTTTCCTTGGCCCACATCTATATGGTTTAGTACCCCCTTTGGTGCATGGCAAACCCTGGGAATGAGTAGACTAGTTAGAGCCAGGCCGGGGTCTTCCCCCGGGACTCTGGGCATTCTCTGTGAGACTACCTGTTCTTTGCCATTGTTCTGTTTCCTGTCAGTTTCCCCTTCGATTTAACTTTGTGCGGTCAGGCAGGATAACGTCATGCAGGAAAACTGAGCTACACGTGGGATTTATAAAGAATAGTGCACGTCACTCCCTCTTGCCTTCTAGTTACAAGGGTTTGTTTTCCTCCATCACATGTAGTTTGTGGGAGTTCAGTGAAGGTGCCAGCCAGGCATGGCTGCTGCATTCAAAGGCCATCCTGACAGCGAGGCAGGAGGGGCCCCAAAGGAACGAGGGGCATGAACAGGGTTACATGTGCAGGGGAGGGGTGCCCATGGGAGATGCTGTGCAGAGCCCCTGGCAGGAGAGGTGCCCAAACGGGGATGGGATGGGCAGCAGCAGATTCCTCCATAGTGTGTTTTCAGCCTCCATCAGTGCACTGATGGGTTCACCTCTGAGGACGAGCAGGAGGTTCAGGTTCCTTGCCCCATTCAGTCCTCAGCCTTGCTACTGTGACTGCCAACAAGAGGGAAATGCCACTGGGAACAGAAGTGAGACCCTCCCCCCATTCATTTCCCCAGGGGGCTGCTGAAGAGCCGCCAGATTGTACCGACGCTCAGTCGCCGTGGAGCCAGGGCCGGTGCAACCCATTAGGCGCCCTAGGCGGTTGCCTAGGGCGCTACAATTTGGGGGGCGGCGACTGCGGCGGTATTTAGGCGGCGGGACCTTCTGCTGCCTCTGTGGGGGGCGGCATTTCGGGGCGGGACCTTCCGCCGCCTAGGGCAGCAGAAAAGCTGGCGGCGCTCCTGCGTGGAGCTGGCTTGAATTGGAACTGGCCCATCCCAGGGCCTGTGAGCTGGGGAAGCCTTTGAATAGGACGGCATGTAAACCTCGGCAGTCAAATAAGGATTGCATCGTGGCTAAGTGGTGGCCTTTGCAGCAGGCAAGAATTCAGGGTTCCGAGCTGCAGTGGCGTTATCAGACGATTACTACACCTGTTCTTGCAGGACGAAGACCTCCTCAGCATGGCTGGCAACCACTTGTATGTCCTCCTGGGTGCTCCACGCACCCTCCCTGTGTCACCCTTGTCAGCTTTGCTTCGAGGCTCATGGTCTGAACAACTCCAAACTCTCAAAGTAAAACTTAGAGAAGAGCAGCCAAAGTTCACACTGAAATGCGAGTGTCACTTGGTTTCAACACCAAACGTTTTAAACGCCCCAGGGTTATGCAAAGCTGGGAGAGTGGAGTCTATAACGGAAGCTGAGCCAGGTGGGTTCGGGGTGGGTTCAGATTTCCTAATGTGAGTTTCACAGAAGCAAAGACAAGGTTGATTTCCTGCTGCCCTGTGTCTTGTGCAGCCATTTACCCCAGTGCACAGTGAGAGTGAATTGATTTGATGGTGTTTCACACTCACATTGCACAGGGTAACTGATGGCACATGGAGCAGAGGAACAGAGAGCCCAGCCAGCAAATCTCTTTTCTCCCCTTGCTTTGCAAGTGTCTTAATAATAATGATTTTTAAAGTCAGGCGTCTGTGGCTAACAGGCCCCGTTCACCCTTGGTGTCATGTCACTTCTCAGACTCTTAGAGATGACATAAAGTGCTTTGAACTTTGAGCTGTGATCTGCCTGCTCCAGCACAGAACTGCTGCTGGCCTGCACAGTGTGAACATGCTGGGGCCTGGCTTGCCTCTCGTGTCCCTTCCAGAAAACCAGCCTTTTGCAGGAGCGCTGGACTTTGAACGTCACCTAGGGCCTGATTTCCAGAAGTGCTGAGCACCCTCAGCTCTCACTGACTTCAGCTGGGTTTGGGGGCTCTCAGGAGATCAGGTCCATACTGTGTGGCCCCCCTGCCCTTTCCAGCAGCTAGATCAGGCCTGGCTTGGAGACGAATAACACCAATGATAGAACGGGCCGATATGTCACTCCTGCAGTAGCACTGGAGGGAACAGAACCCCCCGACCCGCTGCCAATCTGCCCGTGAGAGGAGAGCAAGAGGTGACAGAACCATTGCAGCATCACAGAAACAAATACACACACCTGGCAAACACTGAATTTCAGAACGTTACAACGACGTGTTCAAAGGAAACAAACCAAGGTAACATAAAAAACAACCCCATAAAGGGAAACCTTCCCTCTGAATGGTATACTACAAACAGAGCCGGAGTCGGGGCGGCTGCTGGGGCAACATGTACAGGTTTGGAATGGTTACATGGCTGTACAACACTTTACCTGTGAAGTATCTCCAGTCCCCACCGCCACATAACAACAGTGTTATTGGCAGCCCGGTCCACCACCCAACAGTCCCATCCAGTGCAATGTTCACAGCAACCGAGAGAACTGGCCACACGCCGAGGCACAGCACGCCCAGCAAATGGCTCAATTCAAAATCCTTAAAGGAAATAACCCTACTGCTAATGAGCGGAGGTCAGGTGCAGCTTGAGAAACCATTGCCTCGCAGGGTGAGCAGGGATCACTACTGGCTATATTAATGCTTGACAGCTGCTAATGCTGCCGTGAGGCGAGCAGACCAATAACTTCCTGAACTGACAGTCAGGGTGAGCAAAATGGCTCAGCGTAAAGAAGGATCGACTCTACTCGCTGCCCAAACCCCGACACTGGGGGAGTTTGGAACAAGCCTTAAGAAGCTGCATTTCATCCTCTGGGCTTCTCAGGGTGAGCTGGGGGTGGGTTTGCTGCAGTGCAGCTTACCCTGCAGCATCCAGTGCCCAGCCGACTCCTTCTGAAGCTACGGAAAGTCGCTGCGCTCCAGCTCCGACGCCAGCCCAATCGATTCAAAAGGGAAACAGGCTAGTGGCGGTTCCAGCGCTGGGCTGGTAGGCCAGGAGACTCAAAGCCTTAATTTACCTGCCATCTACGGTACTGCCTCCCTATAATGCTGTAATGCTGTGGTATTTGAGCACCTCACAATCCTGTAGGCATTTATCCCAATGACACACCGGGAGGCCGGATGGTGCTTTCAGATGAGGAGCCAAGGCCTAGCGAGACGAAGGGTATGTCTACATTGCACACGCAGCATGGGGTCTGACTCAGGTTTGAGCCCAAGTCCCCCTTCTATCCACACACAAATCAGTCTGACTTGGGGGTCAGCCAGCACTCAGGACCTGGGTCCTGCTGGGGGGGGGGCAGAGTCCAAGTCCCGCTGAGAGTCGGGTCCAAGCCCTGTCATTTTGCAGCATGGATGCAGGCCAAGCCCCAGATCTGAGTCAGAAGGGCTGCGCCGTGCGGTATGGACCCGTTAGCATGGCTGTGAGACCTGGGGCCGGCAATTGTAAACCCAGGTTTGCAATGCAGTGTAGATGCTCAAGTGAAGGCTTGGAACCAACGAATCCACAAGCCCAGGTCCCACAGCCCTGGGTTTACATTGCAGGGTAAACAGACCCTTTGTGACATGCCCTAGGTCACATAGGAGTGAGGACGGGAACCTAGCCCAGGTCTACCCCATCCTAGGCTAGCCCTCTAAACATGGGATCATCCTGCCCCCCAGCCTGAGCAGCAGCCGGGCACACGTTTCTCACAGCACCCCAAGCCCTTGGCTGGAGGTCCCACCTCGCAGGCTGACCGGGGAGTTCATTATCCCTTTTGGTAACACGGTCCCACTTGGACACCCAGTTCATTTCACACGCCAACCCCTAGAGACCCATCAAAGGGCCCGACTTTTGGTCACTATGGACCTAGGTTAGGTTTGAACTGGCGGCCTAGCAGTAAACAGCTCAGCAGCTTAGTACCCGTCCCCTGGCCTCAGATATCTCTTGCTGCGCTGACTCAGGGGAACAAGTGAGCATGTAGAGAAGCAAATAAATAGCATAACATTAACTTGGGGTTTAGAAAGTGCAGTGAAGTTTCTCAGCTACCCATCTCTGTGAGGGCCATGTAGAGCCGTGGCTTGGTCCTTGCCAGAGAACCCCAGGGAGCAGGATAATGAGCTTAGAAGACTGTTCATTGACATTTCCTTAGAAGCTAGGGAGCTTTATAAAGTCTTTAGCCAAGTCTGCAGGGCTCCCTCCCTACCAGGGCAGCACTGGGGTAGTAGCTACAGAAAGGAGACAGCTGCAGAGCAAATCTGGACTCCAGAGCCTGCAGCCTCTGCATGGGCCCTGCACGCAGCTGATGTTCTGTTTTCAGGGATGCCCCCGTCCTTCCTCTCTGCATCATAGCCACCTTCCCTCAGCTGCAGGTGGGTGCAGCTCCTTTAGGAAGTCAGCACTGCCCTGAGCGCTGGCCAGCGGGGCTGCCTGGGATGCTCTCTCCCTCCATAGGGCTCTCTGCAGCATTCCCAGCCCCACCGGCCTGGGGAGAAAGAGACTAGAGGAGCTTTCGGGGAAGGCACTCAGGGCCTGATTCTGTGGGCTGCAGAGCACACTGCCCTCACTGAAGTCCAGAGCAGATAGCACCCCGCTCCTCACTGCCCTGAGCAGGATCTGGTCGTGAGCTTCCAGCCCCTGCCAGCCAGGGAGCCAGACTCCGTATTCCTGCAGGGCGGTGGGATGCACCATCCCAGGGCGGCCGGCCAGCCCTCCGCCTCCCCAAGGCTCAAGTCACGCCAATGCTTTGAGAGTATGTGGTGCAAATGCAAACAGCAGCTTGGTGCCTATTCCAGGGAGGTTTGGGTTATGGGGGGGGTGAGGCTGGCCAGGAGAGATGCATGTCTGTTGGAGCCGCCCATTCTCCTGGCCTCCGCAAGGCGCTAGAATCTCTGGAAGTCATGCAGGTCCTCGGCCCCCTCGATTTTCAGACCCTGCAGCAGGGGGAAGTCGATCAGCGGCTCCTCCAGGAAGGCCTCATCCCCCTGGGAACTCTGGCAGTGCAGCCCCGCCTGTGGGGCCCCGTGGAACCACAGGTTCTCATAAGGCTTGGGGCTGGGCGTCGACTCGCTCAACAGGGGCTGAGTGGAGTCGGACCGGATGTAGAGGGGAGATGGGACGCGCTGCTGCTGGCCCCTGTAGCCTTCTGCAACTACCTTGGCGTACTGGACGGCCCCAGCACCGTTGACGTAGGAGCCCGGCCTCGCCTCTCCCGGAGCTCTGCTGCCACTCGGCAGGCCGGAGCTGCTGGGGTGGATGTAGGATTTGGGGAGGGTCGGGAAGCTGCCAGCAGTTGCTGGGACAGGGTCCTTCTTCCCCCAGAACGGTGCTTTCTTCTCGGCTCCTTTTTCCAGCACTGTGATGTCAGAAATGGTCACCAGGCCAGGCTCCCTCGCACTGGCTGTCTGGAGAGTCTCCTAGGAAACAGGTGTTTGCTCAGGGAAGGCCGGACTGATAGTGGTGAGGTACGTAGCTTCGGCCCCACCAGCCCCACTGCAGGGCACAGCCCTCTCCTAACGGCTACCCTCTCCCCTATCGCCCCTTCTCAGCCCCACGGAGGGGGGACACCCTCTGCAGCACCTGCTCACCCCAGCCTTGCCCAGCCCAACTGCTGTGCAAGCCCCCCCCCCCCCCCCCCCGCCCTCGTCCTGCCCCTCTCCTGCCAGGCTCTGTGTTCTCAGCCCCACTGCAGGGCCCAGAAGCAGCGCTAAGCGGGACCTAATCCTGCAGGGCGCTGAGTAAGTCAGTGTTGGGCATTTTGCAGGATCAGGCCCCATGCTTTGCCAGTTGAGCTGTTTGCTAGCTCTGACGGCCCAGCAGGGCCGAGCCTGCTACCAGGCCCTATTGGCGAATATGAAGGAGCTTTGCTAGGCTGGCTGCTGCTGACCCAGCTGCTAGGAGGGCAGGGGTAGTTTCTCTTCTATTCCACTCTGGTGCTTAATCCCTGCCCATCACTGTGGTGTCTGGCCTTCTCACCAGGGCATGGTACCATCTCCCAGCCAGGTGCTCAACTGGTGAGGGGTGACTCAATATTGTGCTGTGGAGTCAGCAGTGATGGGGGAGGACTGGCACCTGCCAGACCCTTTCTTACCTGCTGTAGGTCGGCTGGCACCCACTTGCCCAGGCTGCTGTTAGCTGGGTCCGGGACGCTGGGCCAGAACTGATTCTTCATCCTGTTGGTCACATAACAGAAGCTCAATGAGAGGCCAGGGGGATGCTTAATGACAGGGCTGCTGGCCGATCGCTCCATCAGGGCTTGGGTTCTTGCGGGGATGGGCAGAGACACAGCTGGCAGGGTGAAATCCAGGGCTTGGGGCTGTGTTTGTGCAGCACCCAGCAGCAGGGGGCCCTGATCCCTGGCAGAGGCCTCTGGGGGCTGTCATATCACAATATAAATAATAACTGGAGGCAGCGCAATTGCCCCAGGGATGTGTTTGGCTCAGTGCCCTTTGCTACACCTGTCTGAGCCTACTGGTCCTGCCTCTGTTCAGACACCCACTGATTCGCCCCAGCGGGGGATCTGGCCTGGTGTGAAAAGCACAAAGCTCCCATACTTGTGAGATGTGAGTGTCCCTGAGCCTAAGGGGGAGGAAATGTCTGCCCAGCCCTTTGACTCCAGCCCCCTCCGTTGTCTGGACAGAGATCGGTGCCCGTGCATCGCACAGAAGGGAAGCACAGGTCTCAGCTGCATCACGGGAGGCTAAGTGGCTAATAACGCGCTGCCAAGCCCATGGAGAGCTGCTGATCCCCGGGCACTCACCTCCGATTCTTCAGGAAGCAGACGATGAATACGACGAGCAAGACACACAAGAAGCCAAAGAACAGGAGGAGATACTGGATTTCTTTCCCATCTGGAAAAGAGATAGGAACTGGGTTATTCCAAAAGCTCAGCCCTTTGCATGAGGGAGTGAGGTAGGTGGCATGGCGTGACCTGAGCATTCCCCCGAGATAGGTGGGGGTTGGGCAACAAAAATAATTAGGGGTATGGAACGGCTGCCATATGAGGAGCGATGAATAAGATGGGGACTTTTCAGCTAGGAAAAGAGACAACTAAGGGGGGATAGGATAGAGGTCTATAAAATCATGACTGGTGTAGAGAAAGTAAATCAGGAAGTGTTATTTACTCCTTCTCAGAACAGAAGGACTAGGGGTCACCAAATGAAAATAGGCAGCAGGTTTAAAACAAACAAAAAGAAGTATTTTTTCACACAACGCACAGTCAACCAGTGGAACTCCTTGCCAGAGGATGTGGTGAAGGCCAAGACTATAACAAGGTGCAAAAAAGTACTAGATAAGTTCATGGAGGATCGGTCCATCAATGCCTATTAGCCACGATGGGCAGGGATGGTGTCCATAGCCTCTGTTTGGCAGATGCTGGGAATGGGCGACAGGGGATGGATCACTTGATGATTACCTGCTCTGTTCATTCCCTCTGGGGCACCTGGCCTTGGCCCCTGTCGGAAGACAGGACACTGGGCTCGATGGGCCTTTGGTCTGACCCAGTCTGGCTGTTCTCATGTTCTTATGATCCTGGGGTGCTTTGTGCTAAGCAGCTGGAGTGGAGCCAGGAATTAGTCCCAGTGCCTCAGCAACCCCCATGTGCTCCCCTGCCACCTAGGGAGGGGCCAAGTTCACATGCAGTTTGGGATCCAGCTGTCCCTAGAGTTCATGTGTACATGTGTGTGTGCGTGTGTGTGCACATGCCTGTCTGTGTGCACGTGTGTGTGTGTGTGTGTGTGTGCACATATGAGGGGTGTGGGTCCAGGGCTATCTCCTCCCCCACCTGCCACCTGGGCCACATAGCGCCTCTGATCCCCGCTTTGGGCCCATCTCAAGCGCCGTGGGGTTCCCAAGCAGACCAAGCCCACGGCCTTACCCAGCGCCGGGGTCACCAGCGTCAGGGTTGTGCTGTTGGTGCTGCCGGCTGCTGTGGACGCCATTATGTGCACTTTGTACATCGTTGACGGCAGCAGGCCCCTGATGGTGAAGGTGGTGAAGGAGGTGTTCACAACGGCACCTAGGAAGCAGGTACAGCTATTAGTGACCCTGAGCTCCCAATCCCGCCGCGCACTCACACCGCTTACGGACCCGTTCCTAGTCCTGGCATCACCTCCAGGAGCTAAATCTAGAGCCTGCGCTGGGGCAGTGGTCACCGGCACGAGTGGGTCTGACTGGAATCGAGCGCCCGCCTCCTCAACAAAAGACAGGACAACAACAGGGAAGGGGGGAGGGGACGGTGATGAGGGAGAAGAGAAAATAAAACGCTGACCCCACAACAACGTGACCCCCTTAAACTCTCCCCCCCCCACACTTCCCAGACCTATAGTACAGCCCCCGACATACACACACCTAGAGGAAGGATGGGCACTAGCCTGGGACTCAGGAGAGTTGGAATCAATTCACTGCTTTGCCACCGATGGTTTGTGTGACCACGCGTAGGTCATTTAGCCTCTCCGGCCAGATTTGCAAAGGGATTTGAGCACCATAGGATGCGGGTAGGAACCTAGTGGGATGTTCACAGATTCATAGATTCCAAGGCCAGAGGGACCTTTGTGATCATCTAGTCTGACCCCCTGTACAAGACAGGCCAGAGACCTGTCCCACAATAATTCCTAGGGCAGATCTGTTAGAAAAACAGCCCATCTTGATTTAAAAATTTCCAGTGATGGAGAATCCACCAGGACCCTTGGTAAATTGTTCTAATGGCTAATTACACTCACTGTTAAAAATGTGCACCTTATTTCCATGTCTGAATTTGTCTAGCTTCAACTTCCAGCCACTGGAGTCTGTTAGACCTTTCTCTGCTAGATTGAAGAGCCCATTATTAAATACTTGTTCCCACGTAGATATTTATAAACTGCAATCAAGTTCCCCATAGCCTTCTTTTTGTTAAACTAAATAGATGGAGCTCCTTGCGTCTGTCACTAGAAGCAGGTTTTCTAATCCTTTAGCCATTCTTGTGGCTCTTTTCTGAACCCCCTCGACCCTTGTTGTTGTGTGGGGGATCACGCTTGGATTACTATCCATCCAGCCCATGGGAAAACGGTGCTGCAAAGCACTGGGCAGATCGACGAGGGCTTAGGTGCAGTGCAAGGGTGGCAGTGACGCCGGCAAGACTTACGGAGCTCATCGCCGGCGGTGCTGGCCCAGAAGATGGTGTAGTTCGTGATGAAGCCGTTCTGCATCTCAATGGGGACTGGGTCCCAGCTGAGCTCGGCATGGGACTTGCTGACGCTCTTGAGGCGGAATTTAGGGGCACGCGATGGAGCTGAAGTGGGAGAAGAACACGAAAGGTACAAAAACCAGCCAAGGGCACTGCAGTGCAGATTCCTATAGGCTCCCCAATATGGGCCGGAGAGCAAAGAGGCCTGGATAAGAGCAGATATTTGTGACAAATCTGACTGCTTAGAGGCTGGGGAGCCCAGGACCCGCACACCTCTGCCACTGAATGCCCTGTGAGCAGTGGGCCAGATCCTCAGCCGGTGTATGCTCGTGCAGTATGTCAGTGGGGTTACACTGATTTGCCCCGGCTGAGCACCTCACCCAAGGACTCTGGTTGTCTTGTGGTTCTTGCATGGTGATCTCTTGCAGAAGATCATTCTGCAGTTAACCCTCTGTTCTGCCGAATTCCACAGAGCCAGGAGACGCTTTTCATAAGAGCAGGGGCTTGGCCCACTGCCCTGGGCTGGACTTTCAGCGCCCCCATTCATGTGTGCTGTTCGGCTGCCACCCTCCACCCCAGAGGTGGCTGCATTTCAGTCATGCTGCCTGGACCTAGTTTGTGAAGCAGTTTGGGGTCATTCAGGATGGGAGCTGCTATAGAAACACATACCCTTCTCTTTTGAATAGGCTGCTGTGTGCAGGGGCAGCCCCACCGTGTCCGCATACAAGGGGTACACGGAGATATTGTACAGCTGGAAAGGCTCAATATTTTCTGGAAGAGAAAACAAGAAGAGGTGATTAAACCAGCAGGGCTACAAGCACTGAGAGCCCTTTACTCAATCATCTGAAGCAGGGAGGGCGCCCTCTGCGCTGCCAGCATACCTTGCGTCTCCACTCAATCAGGCACAGCGGGTCAGCTGACACATCAAATGTCTACTTCCCATCATGTACCTGGTACATGAAGCAGCATCCAAGGGGTTTAATGGCACAGCATTGACATTATAGGCATGAAAACAAACCTTGGTATGTACAGGGTAACTGGAAGGGGGGGTCGTAGGATGGATACAGACAGGCAGAGATGGGGGGGGTCGGTGGATGGATACAGAGCAGACACAGGGGGGTTGGTGGATGGATACAGAGCAGAGACGGGGGGGTTGGTGGATGATACAGAGCAGACACAGCGGGGTTGGTGGATGGATACAGAGCAGAGATGGGGGGG